ACCCTCTCTCTGCACCTGAGCGGGTCCCACCTCCTCTCATTCTCCTGGGTTATTCTCTGTGTCTTCATATGTGTGTTTTCTGTGACTTTTCTCCCTGTGCCTGTTTCTGCCTCTGTATTTCTCTCCTTTCTTACCACCTCTTCCAATTCTTGTTTTGCCTCTCTCCCTTAACTGATCAAAAGAGAGTGAATAATATATATTTACATATTTGTTTTATTTATTGAACAGTTATTGTGCCCCATATGAAAGTAGACAGATGGGTGGGATGTTTTCTACTCATTTGGAAAACAAATACATAGTGGTTTTTTAATTACATGAATCTTAATCGATTCCTACCACTGCTTCCCCACCCCCAATAAACCCTGAGAAATCAGGGCCAGCAGTAATAGTCCCACGCTAGGGCTCCTAGCTTAGAGCAAGAGGGGATCCGCAGTGTGCCCGATGCCCGGGCGAGGGGGAGCAGCATGAAGGGGGGGGCATGCAGGGTTGGGTGCAGTCTGGGCATGTGGAATGGAGGCCCTTTAGCAACCGCCCAGTCGCGTGGCACCAGCCCTCTCCACCACTGAGCTCTGCCACTCTCCAGCCTTTGCCTTGACCCTCCCCGAGTGAACTGCCTCCTGGAACCTGGCTCAGTTCACCTGGGGAACACCTACCCATCTGCTGATGCCCTCCCTGATCCATGGAAAGGGCTAGAATGGACTCCTCCTTCACACCCCACTGCGATCAGAGGCGGGGTCTCAGGCACCCTGGTTTCCCTAGTGCCCAGCATAGTGCCTGGCACGTAATAGGTATTCAATCAACACATGTTGGAAAAATGAAGAGTAGAAGATCTCTTGTCTCCCTCTTTACTGGAAGGATAACAAAGTGGGCAAACTTGGCCCCAGCTCTCAGGTCCCACCCGGTTCCCATACTTTCCCATGCCTGGATCCGCTCACCTGCTGCAGGCCGCCCCTCACCTGCACAACCCTCCCACTTCCCACAGCTCCCTCTGCCAGTCTGTGATCATCACCCCCCCACCCCCCCTCCATCCACAAGAACTCTATCCTTCATCTGCATTCCCAACTACCTGGTTTGTTGTCACCTCATTTGGGCCTCTCTTACGGCTGTTTAAGCACCCCAGGTTAGGCACACACGCGACTATCACCCCCAGAACCCACACAGTGCACCAGCCCCACCCACCCACCCCAAGGGTGGGACTTCCAAAATGACCATAGATTAAACAAGCGAAGTGAAGGCATCTCTGCCATCCCTTGGGAGGAGAAAAAGCCAGAACCAACAGTCCTGCCGGCAGACAGGAAGGGACAGGGAGCCAGACCCCGGCCTCCCGGAGTGGCAAGGCGGTGCCGAGTGCAGGCGGTCACTCTTCCCAGCAACACGGGATCAAAATGTTACACTACCTTGTTGGCCAGTGCGTCTCCCGGTCCATCTTCGCCTTTCCCAACACTTAGCTCTGACTGCTTGCAATTAGAATCTGGGAGGCAATCTAAAAGAGGCAAGCTGCTGCATTATGGAGACCCCAGGAAAACTGCAGGGCACAGCTCATCTTGTGGAGAGTGGCTCAAATGGCAAAGGTTGGTTCCTTCACCTACTCAGCTGGGCCTCACCAAGGAAATAAGATCAAGAAAGTGGTGTTTGTCTTTAGCATTTATTTATAATTGGAAAAATCGTTTGTTGGTTTGTTTTTCTGAGCAAGCACAGACCACAAGCACGTCACAATCAATTGGCTATACAGGAATATTTTTGTCATTCTCTTACTAACAGCAGGAATGAAATAGCACCAAGAGAGGTGTGCGCTACAGGTTTACATAGACAATCTGTGGTATGCAACAAAACCCAGGCCACAAAATCGTAATTAGACACTTCCTGTCTGCCTTGGGCAGGCAAAGCTGTGTGGGCTGAAGGGGAGTGAGGCAGAGAACAGAGCTGGGGGAAGCCAACGCACAGCTCCAGGGGCCACTTTTGCAGGCAGGGGAACAGCGGGGAAGCTCCGGCCCCAGCGCTGTCGCCAAGGGAGCATGGGGAAGCCACAGGGAAATACACGGAAACGGGCGGGACAGGTCTTGGAAGCTTGGTCACCTTCAGAAAGGCAACATCAAAACACTGCTTGTGGAACCAAAATAAGTTTCGTTCAGTACGTTAAGGATACAGAACGAGACTGGCTGAGTTTTATTTGTAAACAGTAGAAATCGAAGGACGTTTCTTGTCAATGAAGTGACACATTCAAGAGTCAAAGTGAACCACAAACTGGGTTTTCTCAGTGGGTGTGTTAAAAAGAAGGGATGCTGACAGGTTGGAAAAGACATCATTCAGGTCATCAAAAACCGCAGGCAGGGCAGGGTGGGAAATCTAGTCCCTGGGGCTGCAAGGGGGGTGGAAAAGCCGTGGGACCCTTATGGCAGGCTACGATTTGGGCAACACCAACTTGACTCAGTCACAGGGATCCTTCTGGCTGTGTGGCTATGCAGACAGATTCATTCATACCGCCCACCACGTCTAGCACAGTGCCTGGCACACGGCACTCATTAAGTGAATGCCGAATGAATGATTCCTTGTGCACTGTAAACTGATTTGCTTGATCTGCAAAAAATGTATGGTTATTCTACAGAGAAATCCAAATTGTGGCTAACATCAACATGTCTGACTAATGTCAAATCTTGAGAGAATGGACAAACATTGGCAGATTCTCTGGATACAGTTAGGATCATGTTGGTAGGGTTCTCTGGTACACGTTAACATTAGCTGGCCAGTAGCTTGAATCAGTACTGAGATCTACCGTGTTTCCCTGAAAATAAGACCTACCCATAAAATAAGCCCTAGCAGGATTTCTAAGCATTTGCACAATATAAGCCCTACCCCGAAAATAAGACCTAGTGATGGGCGTGGCTACGCAGCGCATTTGCACAACCTGTAAGAAGATGAGCAGCCCTTCTCATCTGCCCCATGAGAGCTCTAATTGCTCGACATGAGAGATTGAGGCCAATGGTTCTAAAGGAAATAGAGTCGCAAGAAATTCAGGATGGAATTCGGGGTTTGGAGAGTTATGATGATGTTCCAGAAGAACACGATTTAACTATATATGAATAAATGTAGATTGTTGTACCGTACTTAAAAAAAATAACACATCCCCTGAAAATAAGCCCTACGGTGTCTTCTTGAGGAATAATAAACATAAGACCTTGTCTTATTTCCGGGGAAACATGGTACTCTAGTCATTTCCAGATAAGCATTCAAAAGTTGTGATTCATAAACATGAGACTTGCTAGCATTTCCTGTCTTCTTCCATACTTCTCCTCCCTCACAGCTTCATACCCTGAGAAAGAAAGGAAGGTCGCAGTGGGCCTGACCGAGCACTTCATTTCTAGTCTCCCTGTTCTGTTACTAATTATGGCCCGCGTCGCCATACGCTGAATTAATTGGCAAAAGACTTCTCAATCAGCCCACGGTGACAAACCAAATGGTGCAAACAGAGACCTTGCTGCCTGAACAGTCAGATAAGAGAGAGCTTGTGGAGGCTCCACTTCCTCCAAATCGGAAGGATCTAAAGGGACTCTTGAGGTCAGGAACTGTGAGACCTGCACTCTTCCCCACTTTCATTACAAAAGAAAAGAATGCCTGAGCACAGGCTTGGTGCTGTTCGGCCACCCAGCAGTTTCAGAATGCTGGGCACAGTAAAGACTTTAAGGACAGAAGAAATAAAGTGTGCTGAGCAATATACACATCTGCATTTGCAAATATAATTTCTCCGGTAGACATTTTGGGTTCCCTCACAAGCACTGGGGGTCTTACCACGACAACTCCCCCACTAATTCCTACAACACAACTTAGCACAGCTAAGGTGGCACTTGCCACCCCTGGGGGCTTTGGCCACATAGACACGAGACACAGAATACACTGAGAGCTGCTTTTATGCATTAATGAGGTCAAAGACGCTTGCCAGTCACTTAGCAGGGCACTCTCCTAGTCTGCAGTAAGTCACAGAAAGTCCCCTGCCCTGCCCTCGGCACCCCTGTCCTCTCCGAGGAGCAGAGCAGCAGCAGGGCAGGAAGGGAGAGCAAACATTGCCACACTTGCCACTACATCTACATGCCCCTTGGGCTTCTCAGAAACGGAAAGCCACACCCTAAATACACTATCCCTACACCTTCAACAGTCTTCCTCAGCCACCTTTAACCAGCTGCTCTGCAAAATCAGCAGCAGTGGACAGGCAGTAAACAGAGGGACATCTCCTCATTTTTGTGACCTTCCTAGGACATCTGGAACACACCTAAAACACCAAACCCTTTTTCCACCCCTGGCCTAGTTTTAGTTATCAGGGGCATATCTGTTACTCAGCACGGCCACTGATAGGAAACTAAACACAGGCACACATTCCTAACAGAAGATTCTATGAAAAGATTACTTAACAGACACAACTCCATTTTATTGACATTAAGGCCAAGGTTGGTTTTTTTGTTTTTCATATTTCCACACATTTTGTCATCTGCTGCAGCCCAAGCTGAGCTTCTCTAGCACATGATAATTTTCCGAATTTTGGAAAAGAACACATTTACCTAAAGCTCAAAATCGATCAGTGACACAGGCCTTGGGGAACAGTAGAAGGAGACCCTGCAGACACTTCCAGGCACTACCGGGAGATTTGCTTCCCAGCCAGCTCAGAGTTGCCTCCCGCTGGGTCCGGCCTGCCTCCCTTGTCAGCATGGGGTCACACTGACAGGGGAGGGCACAGCCAGCGGGCAGTGCTTCCTGGTGTTCCTGGGGCTGGTGGCCTGGTGGCCTGGGTGCCTGGGCCACCCTCAGGAGGAGGCATGCCACTCGATCTGTGAAGCAGGATCCCTCCATTAAAAAAAAAAAAAACCAAACCAAAGAGCTCCTGGAACACTCAGGACCAAGGCAGATGAGAAGCCTCTAATTAATTTTGTGGCCTTTTTTCGTTTGTTGGTTAAAAAGAGAGAGAGAGGGAGAGAGAGAGAAGAGTAAAAGGAAAGTGCGGTGAAATTTACTCTTTCGCCTCAGCCAGTTTATTGTTCATCTCTTTGCTTTGCTCCTTGTCATCGGGTTTGGCGGCACTGGGGCCCTCTGCGCTCTTTTTCTTGGCGGCCTGGCCCGACACCGCCTGCTTGTCTTTGGCCTTCCTCAGAGGCTTATGGCTCGCTGAGGTCTTTTTTGGTTTGGAACTCTGAACACTAGGTTTCTCCACCTGCACGGAGAGACAGACAGACCGCAAATACAGAAACACAAAAGGGAGTGGGAGAGAGAATTTAGAGAGGAGACATTATTAATTAAAAATAACGGGAATGGGAGTTTGGCACTGATGGAGCACAGTGTTTAAAGTATTTCCAGTGACACCGGGGCATTTGGCTTCTTCTGTCTGAGCTCACTCACTGCTCAGTCACGTTGGCAACGTTCACTGGCCACACGGGTTCCCTTCCCCGGCCAGTCCTTCCCCTGGAGCCCCCCAGAGGAAAGTGGGCTCTGCCGCTATTCTGCAATATCTGATGGCCCTGCCTGCGGGAAGTCTAGACCTCATCACCTTGTTCAACTCGGGCAAAGGCATATGATTTGCTTTAGTCAGTGAAATGTAAGATGTGACATGGGTCACCTCCAGGCAGAAGATTCCAGAGTCAGTCTGTGCTTCCCACTGCTCTCTTTTCCTCTGCCACAGAGAGAGGCTTCGCCATCACTCTGAGCCCCAGACGGAAGAGGCAACGAGGAATAGAGCAGCAGCCGACTTATGGTGGACATGGATTAATAAGTAAACCTCTGTTGACATAAGATGCAGAGATTCTGGGCTGGTTTCTTACTACAGCCCCAGCTGGCCTTGCCCTGTTTCCGTCCTCTAGGATGGTGTGCCGGGGGGTCTCCAGCCTCAGCTAGGCCCTCTGTTCCTCTCTGGCTGGCTCCCTGGCTGTTTCCCCCAGGGCAGCTGTTCTAAGCCCACTCCACTCTCTCTCAGCTCTCCCCTCTAGCTCTGCCCCTCATTCTAAGTAGATGGCCTCACCCCCACTTCCTTAGAGAAATCTGTAGCCACTGGGCACGATTCCTCAGTATGGCCCCTGTCCATGTCTAGATCTGATTTCCACAATATTCCGTCCGTCCTCCCCTAAACCTTCTTTTGCCCCCATGCCAATCCCATGTCCCAGGCCCCCTAATCTGTGGATAGACAGAACTGACATTGGGCCTCACAGGCTGGCTTGTTCGCTCACTGAGGGCCAGTGGTTTTCAGTCCACCCTGATCTGTAATAAGGTAACCAACGGTCCTGGTTTGCCTGGAACTGAGAGGCTTCCTGGAACATGAAACTTTCAGTGCTAAAACTGGAAGAGCCCCAGGTAAACTGGGTCGGTTAGTTACCTTACCCATAAACTGGCCCTGGGCCAAATAGGAAATTCCAGTCAAGGGCAAGACTTTAGGACAAAAGCAAATAAGAGGCTAATTAGGTTTCAGAGCTGTTGAGGTTCTCACTTTCTCCTATTATCATAGGAGAGAGGATATGTGCACAGTTCCATGGGTCTGACGTCAGAGAGTAAGCTGGGCTGCTTGGCACATATGGTCCTGGCTTCTCTGGCTATAGCTCCAAGGTGCTTCTCCCGCGTGTGAACCCATGCTGAGGTGCAAGTAAGGCAGGGTAGTGTTATCACAGGAAAACCCGAGTCCACTTTCACACACTGTTTTAGTAACAAATTATTGGGAACAGATCTTGCCGCTGATGCAGCAGCTGGTGGATGGTGTTTCTCCAGGAAGGTGACAGAGGGCAGGCACTCTTCAAGGACTGGGGAGGGAAGAAAGGGCCCAGTGGCTGAGCCAGGCTGAGGTGGGCTAGGTGGGAAGGAAGCTGGGCAAGGGGCCCACAGTGCTGGGTGGGCCTTCGGGGGCAGAAGCACAGCTATGTTGTTAAGACAAGGGGATTTAGGGCCCAGGTGAGATTCTTCTGCCACTCTTTTTCTGGACTTCTCAAAATCAGAAGCCAGTTCTCTGGAAGTCTGCCAGCCTTTAAGCTGTTTTTATTCAGGTAATGCTCCCTTTTAACATTCCCTTTGAATTTAGCAAAGCTTTTGGTTGAAGAGGCCCCTGGGTCTCAGTGTGCTGAAGAGGAACCCAGGGATTCATTAAAAGGAGCCCTGGGGGGCTGGGCCAGAGTTGGCAGTAGGCCACCCCCATGCTTCACTGCGGCTAACCTTCCAGTCCGCACAGCGCTGATGGGCTCCCGCAAGGCCTGGCTCACCTTTGGGGGCTCCTTGAAAGGCTCGCTGTAGAGGCTGCGTATTCTTCTGCGGTCGGTGACCTTGTTGTCAGCTGCTGTTGGCTTGTTGGCCTCTCCTTTGAACTGGGCACTATAGCTGGTCTCGTGGGCCATCTTATCATCTGGGGGCTTGTACTGGGATTTGGCTTTTATCGGTTTCACAGGCTTGATGTCCGTCCAGGCTTTGAATTCATTCCTGTCAAGTCAAAGAAAGCAAAAGTGATGTGAAACATCCAGCACTATTGCCTGGCAATAGTGCTCCTAACACAGGGCCGCGAACACAGCGAGCTCACAATCAGCGCTTGTGGCACTGAAGTGTGGCTGGAGGGTCAGCTTCTCTTTCCTCATGAACAGGGCAAGCTTTCCTTCTTGCAAAGTTGACCCAGGTTGTGGCAACAGCAGTAGTGCCTTGGAGAAAGAGCTCAGGCTCCCTGGTCCACACCGTGTGGTCCTGGGCAGGCAATTCTAAACTTCGGGCCTCGTTTTCCCACTCTCTAAAATAAGGCTGAATAAACCCAACCCATTCAATCATTCGTGAGTTCAACAGATATTGAATGTCTGCTATGTGCAAGGTTAAAGAGTTGTGAGATTAAATGAGATAATACATTAGGCATACGCACTGCCTGATATATTGTGGTCTATCAACAAACGCCAATTCCCTTCCCCTGCTTTTTCATAATGAAGAACTTTTGTTGTCCAGAATCCTTAAGGATAATTCCTCCCTTTAAATAGCAGAGAGCTTGCTTCTTATAGTGCTAGAACTTTAACAATCTTAATCACTTTAGACGAACATCCTTGTCTAAATGTTTGTAGATCTGGAGCAAAATGTACTGAATATAATTTGGTTATCACAACCAGGACTAGTGTTGGGATATGTATGTGTAGGAAAGTCTTTTTATTATTATTATTGAGACAGAGTCTCCTCTGTTGCTGCAGCTAGAGTGCCATGGTGTCATCATAGCTCACAGCAAACTCAAACTCCTGCGCTCCAGTGATTCTTCTGCCTCAGCCTCCCGAGTAGCTGGGACTTACAGGTGGATGCCACTAAGCCCAGCTAATTTTTTCTGTTTTTTGTAGAAATGGGGTCTCACTCTTGCTCAGGCTGGTCTCAAACTCTTGACCTCAAAGGATCCTCCCAGACTGCTAGGATTATAGGTGTGAGCATACCAGGCCAGGAGAGTCTTGTTGTGCTTTGGTGTGAATGGCTATTGGTCCTTACCCTGAATGATTCTCATCTGCTACTTTTTTGAGTCAACGTGTCAGTTTTCTTGCTCTCAGCAATCCCTCTCTGGGTTTCTCATCAGCCGTTTCTGAGAGTGGGGAGCGTAGAGGAGGAGCTCCTATCCCAGCCCAGGAGTAGGGGCTGGTTTCTGGAGTGCAGTCAGAGACAATAACAGAGAGTTGGCCAGAGAGTGGGGACTGGGTTCAAGGCAGATTGAGTAACACATACAGAGGCTCACAAGTGGCAGGGCCGCTGTGGGACCAGCAGGCAGTTCGGGTGGCTGGGTTCATGTTTAGTGGGGAGGGCACAAGAGGCTAGACAGACCATGGAGGTCCTACCAGCCACGCTGAGGGGATGTCTGCAGTGTAACAAGGAGCTGCCAAATGATTCCCAGCTAAGCATAAGTGAGGCCTGATTAGTTTTAGAGAGGAGAATGTTGGTGTAAATGATAGACAGAAGGGGAGAGTGGAAGCGGGAGGCCAGGCAGGAGGCTGTGCAGTGAGGCAGGGGGAAACCAGGACAGTGACAGTGGGGGTGGAGAAAAGGGCACTGGCTCAAGAGGGAGAATGGATAGGACTTCAAAGCTCATGAGCTGTGGGAGGCAAGGGCCAGGGAAAGTTGGGGGGACTCCAGGACTTTGGCTAGTGGTGCCACCCACTGAGATGGGGAGCCTGAGGGGACAATAGGATTTGGGACAAGAGTTGAGACCCTCTTGATCCTGTTACTACTGGCATCCCACGCACCCTGGCAGCAAGGCTGCTTTTGGATCCTTTCTTCACCTCTCCTCCTCCCTTCTCTACCTTCTCCAGGTTCAATCAGATTTCCTGACCTGACTTCTGAACCATTTTGGCTCCACACACAGACCTAGGGCTGGCCCAGGGTACAGGTGGGACTCTGGCCACCACTACCTGCCGAAGGCTCCAGGCCCTCCCTCCTTCCTCCTACCCTTCAGAACCAAAGCCTTGCCTGTTAGATTGGCTCCCAATACCTGGGCCTGGGTCTCCCAGTGCCAAACCAGTAACAGCCTGGCTCCCTAACATACGATGGCAGAAACCTGGATTCTCTGTCCTACCCTCACCTGTTTCCAGAATTAGGACTGAGATAGGCATACAATGTCCCTAAGCATTCTTTCTGGGTCACCTTTTGCAGGCCAGACTCTGCGGCCTTCTGCATCTCTGCAGCGGCCCCTGTAGGCTGGGAAGTGTCTCACTTAGAAACATTATCTGTGGGATGTGTCCCTGTGGGAAAAGTTTGGTAACCCTTGATCTTGAACAACTCTGGTACTTCGTCTTCATATGAGACCTTATTAATGAGCTCCATAGTAGGTTCACTGTAATCATGATAGATTTAGGTTTAAGCCCAAATTCCATTTCTCTGAACTCTCCATAAAACCTCCTATGGTCACATGCAACAACTATCATATGTCATAAAAATAAAATTAGCTACCATTCATTAGTTGCCTTGTATAACCTGGAGGGTTTTTTTTTTTTTGGCTGTTTTTGTTTTTGTATATTCTCTACAACCCTTACAACAATTTTGAGAAGGAGGTAGTATTATATCTCTTTTATAAAGGAGGTAACCGAGGCTCAGAGAGGTTAAGTGGCTTGCATAAGGCCACACAGCTGGCAAGCAAGGCAGTTGGGATCTGAGCTCAGAGCAGTCAGGCCCCACAGCTCCCCACTGCACTTCAGCAATGAGCTAAAGCTGCAGTGTGCTCCGCCTGTCCTCACGGGGGGTGCCAGTGCAGGGGTCCAGCCTGCTGTCTGCGATGCTGTGGAGGGTTATAGGACACAGAGTGGACCGGATGACCCTGAGATGCTTGACTGACAGCAGTACGGGTCGGTCATGCCCAGTGCCTCTTGCCAGGGGTTCATGGTCCCCTGTAATATGATCTCCCCTTCCTTTGCAACCATATTTTTGCTTGATCATTCATTTATTCACTCATTCCTTTGGCATGTGGCAAACACCAGCCATGAGCATGGCATGTGGCCCACAGGGATGTATAAGCCATGGTTGAGGTGTCTACAGTCTTCTGAGTCAGGAGCTGACCATGTATAACCCTAAGAAAAGATGGAATGAATAAAATGGGACCAAGTTCAGAGAGAAAGAGGGAAAAGAATGCTTAATTCTGACAGGGGTGAGGTCTTGGGAAAAGAGCATTGAAGGATGTAGACAGAGAAGTGGATGAAGCGAACTTAGGCACCAGTCTGAATGGGGGTGGCAGGTTCAGAGAGCAGGTGAACTGGTCGGGGTAGGGGCTCAGGGTGCAGGAAGGTGGGGTCTTGGAAAGGTATACAAGGTGAGTAGGCTGGGTAGGGGCTGAGGCCAGGCTGTACAGAGCCTGGAATGCCAGTTTTGCATGCATGTGGTAGGCCTGGGAGGCACTGAAAGTTTCTAGCAAGGCAGCACTGTTCTCCATCGATGGAGCCCTCCTCCTATCAGACTGCCCCACTTTCAATTATTCTTTAAGGGCTCTCTTCTTCCAGGAACTTCTCCTGGGTTACTCAGCCCAAAGTTGTCCATCTCTTGGTTCCTGGCCCTTTTACTGTACTGGCCAACTTGGTGGCCACTGTGCAGTTTCATGCTGTTCTTCGGTTCTTTCATGAGTCCATTTTGTGTCTCTTAAGGGATAAAATGCTTAATAGAAAATTCATCATAGAATCCTACTTTTGAGTCCAGTCTCAGTTGCATGGCTGCAAAGGATATCCTGGATCAGACCTCAGGTTCGGGGTGGAGCTGCACTAGGACCCCAATCCCCAGCGGTCCCACCAGCTCTTCCCACGCTCAGGCTGCCACTCAGGGCCACACTCTGTATCTTCCTTACATTCTTCACAGGATTTAAGGGCTTGGAATTCAGTGGGCAGTTAATGCAAGTAGCGACTGTCTGATTTCATTTCTGGTCAGCTCATGTCACCTCCTTCTGGGCCTTTCCCTCCATATGCGACAGGCACTTGCTCCTAGGTGGCAAAGGAATATCTGAGTCCAAAGCCCTGCCCCTCCAACCATCTCACACTTGGCAGTGGGTGTGTAACCCAAGCTTCCTTGGGGTCCCTCAAGCTCATGGCCACTTTGGCTCGTGACAGCAATCACAAGCAAGCACTTCCCCTCTGCCAGTTTGGGTGTACCCCACAGTGAGGCTCTGGGCACACTGGGAGGGCCCCACATGTGCAGGCTGCTAGCCCTCCCAGAGATGTTCCTCGTGTCACGGCTTCTTTTGTGTCATGAAGTGTGTAAGTCACAGGGACAGGATGACCTCCAACTGTATCACCGAAGGCCACTGTCCCCTCACAACGGATCTACTGGTGAAACCTGTTATTTGAGACTTGATGCTTAACTTATCTCCTACACCATCCCCGTGGGAACAGAGGAGGGTCTGTGACTATGAGGTCCCCCCGTGGGTGGGTAAACTGCAGACGAGTAGGCTCAATTAATATATTTTGATCTGGGTTTAAAGGACTCCTGTATGGCTCATTTGTGCTGGGAAAATCTATGGGGAGAAGGCTGGGCTGGCCTCCAATGCCCTACCAAGGAATGGCAGAGCCAGGCCCAGTTTGAGCTATTTCATGGAGACTTGGTGGGCAAGGTTTTTGGGTGTTAATGCCCCAGAACCTTTGAAGAGCTGCACAGTCACATTCAGAGCAGCTGATTAAGCAGGACTTTGGGATCTTGCTGGCCAGGCCAAGTTTTCAAAGTAGTCAACAAACACTGTACCTTCAACCCCTCCTGTCCAGTCTCTCTGTCCTGCCTCACTTGGGGCCTTGATACCTCCCCCTCCCTGGACCACGCCATCAGAGTCACGGCATCAGAATCCTGATCCCGTCTCCTTACTTCTGATTTATCTGGCACAAGCACAGGATAAATATTCCACCAGGCCAGCTGAGAGCATGCTGCTTCCCAACTAAAATACTCCAACAGATTCCAGTTTCCTTCAGTAAGGAGTCCAAAGTTCATCTTCCCAGTTTCCACATGCTATG